GTGCGCCGGATGTGAATGTGGAGATCAAAGATCGATGTATGGAGAAAAGTAATTACACTTGGTCCATATTTGCATTTTGCTTGAATTTCTAAAAGGGAATGCGCTTGAAAATGGTAATTGACTATAGTCTATTTCACAAGAAAATTGTATTTGCTTTTAAATTAAAAGGCCACATGTAGCACTTCAGAATTCACACGCGAAAGCAATCACTCCAAATTTAGATACTTTTTTTGTGAAGTAAATGTAAAAGTAATACCTATGGGCGAGGTCAAAACGATCAACATACTTATTAAAGGCGGGCCGTATATCTTTTGAGAGCAGAAAAGTGAACGTTCTGTATTGTTAACAACCATCGAACACTATTAAGGTGTAAATACTTCCTTTTGGCGTAACCTTTAACCTCGACCTTGTTAAAAACGTGATTTTATTATAATTATCTTAGGCAATATCTGAATTGGATAATTAGAGCTGTTCAAACTTGACATTGCCACAAGTTTCTTTATCCCATTTGCTAATCCTCCCCATTGTTAAAAGTGCACAATTCCGTACCCACGTCGTGTATTGTTCAAATGTCACAATATTGGTGTTAATGACATAATACCACAAATTTTAATTTACGCTACGGTACTGGATTACACCACCATAATTTTGAAACAAAAACTGAAGCGTCGTGGCCTTCTCCTCTATTTGCAATCGCCGCATTGGAATCATTGTCAAAAATAAAGGAAAGCAAAAATTCTACGCCAGTTTAACGACAAGATCTTCTAATTTACGTAACAAAAGCCGCCGAAGGTTAGCGCAGAAATAAGGCCATAGCAAAAAATAATTTGAACACGGATAGATTTTTGTTTGATTTCGCGTTAATTGGCTTCAGTTGCAAGGATATCCTTGAGTAGACACAAATTCGATTTTTCAAATCCGGACTAATTAAGTACCGAAATGGAATTAATTAATGCTTTAATAATATCAACCCGCACAATCGGGCAAGGATCCAATTTTCTATTCAACTAAGACTATAAAAAAAATTCACTGCGAAGGCGGATATGATTGAAGTCTTGTAACGGTGGAGGATGCGGATTGGAAAATGGTAAGTGCCAAGGTATTTTATCGGCTAACACTTTCAATAGTGTAACATAATTATTTAAACGGCGCATTAAACATATGGGTGGTTGTGTAGGAAGAAGCGTTTCTGCATTACAACGGGTGTGAAGTGCACATTGCATTTTCATTATTGATACTTTTGTACGTTTTGAAATTTTGATAATGAAGTCAAGAAGGAACAATCCTAATACTATTGTATACTATACTATTATATATATATATAATAACGCCTTTTCGTTCATGACCATTGAAGGTAAAAATAATTATTGATTTCAACAATTGCAAACATTTACTAATGCTCGATTTATCCACCTATTTATTAATTGTACATTATTACACGCCGAATGATGAACCCAGCAGAAAAAGCAGATAAAGACAGGCAGACAGATAAATTTCCCACAAAGATCATCTGATAAAATTAGGTCATAACCGCAAAAATTGATAGATCAGATTTTTTAATTTTTACACCTTATCGTCGATTGAATATCTAAAATTTATGTACCAATTTCATTACCAAAGAGACTAATCACCCTCTAATGTCTTCAAGAGCTAGTAATATTTATTAGAACGATTATGCCCGAAAGTTGTAAACTTTTGCAATCAGTATTCGTCTCCAAATGCGGTTGTCGGCATAGTGATAAGAAATATACGAAGGAAACTGTTGTACAATACTGGTTGAGGCATTTTTTTTAATTGCATAAGGGATGCAAAATGTAATTAATATTGCATCCTTATTTGCAAAATTATAAACATACCTATTATATGGAAAGCTGGAGAAAACGCTTGGAAAACGTTACGCGAGAATTTTCTTGCTCACCAAGTCCAGATATATTCCCAAAATTTCCCGGAGATATTTGGGCGTGGCACTACGGGGTGCCGGGGTGTTAATTGTACCGAAGAATTGTTCGGAAATCGTTAATTTGGAGTTTTCGCGGTCGCCGAGTCCATAACTTCCCTTCACATTTCCCGGCGATGCTCAGGGGTGGCGCTACGAGGGTGCACTGGAGTGAAAAATGAACCGTGCTCAGAAATTGTAACGAAGCAACCTATTTTCCCCCTTGAAGTTTCATACCACATCGTATATTTGTGAAGTCGACCAGCTCTGCTGAACATCCGGTATTTAAAAGCGTTTTAAGTTAGGCGCTTCGCTATAAAAAGTGTCGTGGAGAAAAAATATGAGTTGAAAATAGAAGCTAAAGGTAATTGATCTAATTTCCAGAGTTGTGTTTCAGCCGTCGCTACCGTAAATAACGCTACAAATAATTCCCCGTTTGTAACCGTTTTCGATATTTCAATTGTCTTTGTTGCGTTTCCAAGCTCTTGTCATTTAGAAAACGAGGGCAAATTAATATTTTCAAATTTCAGGCAAGTCACGTTAAGACATTATTAGCAGGTTTTTGTTTCCTATGTTAATTTGAAGCATTCAAACTGCAAGGCCATGCAGGTTTACACCGTTATCAGGTTGATAAGCGATCGATATGCCGCGCAATTAATTAAAAAAGTTGTAATTTTTTGACGTTCTTATCCGAATACGCTGTGTCGGCTGGAAAAATCGTCGATCCTTCATAGCATAGCCGAATTTTATAAAAAGTAAAACAATTGTTTAGAGGGGAGCTTCCTGCCTTTTGCACTTTCGCAAGTTCTTAATTTCTACCGTTCCGTTTAATTACAATGTAAGCTTTTTGTTGCTTTCCGTTTCATTAATTATAAGAGGGGATATTGTTTCGCTTTCCTGCATTTGCTTTCCCGCAGATACCGCTACCGAATCCAATTATTTACTGTTCTCGCTGAGGAAAATTCTTGTGCTCCTTTCATTTTGTTTTAGCATTCACAAGTAGCGGGCCGCTGCTTGCCCTTTAGAATTCCTTAATGTGCCGTTAATACTGCTTGAGTTTGTCCAAGGCTTCCGAGACCGACCCGTCAAACAAACTTTGAAAATTTATTTATTTTTCTTGTAAATTAAATTATAATCATTATTCCGCTAATTCTTATTTAATTATACGGGCCTGGGTGCTGGTATCGCCAAGTAATACAATAATTTCAATATATAAACAGTAATTTACATCTACAGGGTGCTCCAGACCACCCGTTTTATAACTCGGGAGCTTGAAAACGTATAACAAATAGCCCAGATATCTCACTAATATTGTTCCGGGGTGAGGGGGGTGCAGAAGGAGAGCAACTTTGTACGGGGAACGCATTTTTATTTCATATCTTGTGTTGGAAATGCTGGTACGGGTCTGTTGTTTTTGAATGAGTATAGAGATTTCGAATTATACAAAACAGGTCTCAATAATTCTGTCAGAATAAAAAATGAAAAAAATGTTTGATTAATGGTCGGATATAATTGATTTAGGAAGTCCATCGGCTCGAAGAGAGACATCATAAATAAATAAGTAAGAAATAGAAATATTATTTCATCATTTTGATCTTACTCAAAAAAGTATGAAGAATTTGTGTCTTTTTGTGAATGAAATGTTTAAAATTACAACGAAATGTTTAAAATTACAACTTCTAAAATATTATTTATTACCAGGAGCTGAGTAGGTTAAGGTTTAGAGTATTTTTTTCTATGGTATTTTATGGTTTTTTTTAATTGCAGTTACGTAAAATGTCTTTTATAAACATAAATACTAAAAAATTAAAATTGGAATCGAGATATGGAATGAAACATGTTTCAAAACCCACTCTTGAGTGCTACCGCATAACACAATTGTAAATGATGAGTAACGGGGAAATAGCAGCTTTCAATTAGCGAAAGACCGAAGTCTCTAGAGGTGGCCCAGAGGCCCAGATCTCGATGGAACAGACAGACGACGAAAAATCGAGTACATAAGCATTACCTCAACTTCGTTGTGATACGCTAAAAAATTTCGCTTCATAAGAAAGAAGAATTAGTAATTATAATTTATTTAAGATGATGGAAATAGGATTTTTGCACTACACGGCACCCTTGTATAAATACAATGGCGACATTGTGGATATTTTATCCAATGACTATGATGGTCTACGTATAACTAAATTACTATTGAAAATAACAGTAATTGCTGATATAAGAGACAATTTGAGGTCCAATTTAATTTTATTTTTGTTGGGGGACCTCGATTTTAAGATAAACAATATAATTTAAAACTGAAAGGGGCAAGTAAGTCTAATTCAGTAAAATCCGTTCAATGTTTAATGTTGCCAAGGGACGTTCAAAATTAATAATGAATTATCCAACTCGCGAATTGGAATCAGTTGTTTAATTTTATTCATTGGAACAGCAAGTATAATTTGTGAATAAATGTTTCGAGACATTCTTGATCAAAGTCAAATCTGACTCAAGAATGAAAAGCGCTTATAAATAACCACGCGATTCATGCTATACCATTTAAATTTTTAATGGTTGGTCATTTCACATTAAATGATGATATGCAAGACTTGAAATTACAGTTTAATTAGGTCTCCTTAACCAATTTGTTTTATGTTTATGGCAAAACGAAATTGCATTTGTAATTAAAATTACAAATTGCCACAAATGTAACATTCATAACCCGATATAACGGAATATCGAAGGATCCTCAGTATGATACCATCACTTTTTTAACGACCATTTATTTTAACCTTGCTACTCTGATCCATATAAGCTAGAAAGAACATAAAATTTGGAATGATAGACCGATTTTAAGGCGTGTTGTACGGACAGAACGGTGGACATTGAATGACACAAAACCAACAAACGATTACTATCAGTACTGTAGTATTTAGAACTCTATGAGTATGTGCATTGAATTTATTATTGGTGTTACCTGAGAGACTTTACAAGTTATGTCAAAAATCAAATGATTTGTTACGTGACAAAATGATATAATGAATTATAGCTATAACATAAATATGCAAATAAGGATTAATGATACCTGAACTATGAACAATGAACCTGATACACTAATTTTTCTTATAAAATCCAATTCTTCTTGAGTTCAAGGCACTTGACTGCGGACCTTTACATTTATTTCAGAGTTACGTATTCCAATCACCAAATGTATTCCCCTTTTGTTCACTAACGGCTACACAGCTGAATCTGATCGTAGTGAGAAAGAAACCAGCTTGTTTAATTAATCTGTCCTTGACCAAATGAATTTACGCGACGGGTACGTGCGGATTTCACTATGTCGTCCTCTCACACGACAATTCCTACTTAATGCCATTCTCAATTTTAACTTTATCAAAATTAAACTCACGGAACTTGCGTGCAAATGAAATTAAATTGAATTTTCTAAGGCCCGTTGCTTCCACCCTTTCAATAACTTTTTGAATAAATTCTATGGATACCATCAATCGTTGTCACGGTACTTATTTTCCGAATAAATTTATCGAGGGATGGAAAAACTGACCCTAAGAGAGTTTTTTGTTATATCCGAGAATTTCTAACTCTAATTTTGAAAAAATGAAAATTTAGAGCTACCGTTAGAATAATTAAGTGGTGCATGAGATAGAGAAAAGGATGACATCGGACGTTCCCTTTAGAAAAGTGGAAAAAATGTATTTTCTAAAATTTGCGCCGCCTCCCCCCCTTACAGTTAGCGCCCACTGTCTTTCGACCCCAATGGGTAATTTATAGTGGCCACAGACGAGGGATGTTCTTAAAATACCCCAACCGTTTTTTACAAACTCATTTAGAGGGAAGTAATAATCTTAATCAATATCTACATCGTTAAAATGTCTATGAATTTCCTCAGCACAATTCTAATCACTTCCGATCGCACATTTATTACCTCCACTCCTAATACCAGTAGCAATATATTACATTGTTCGTAACCTACATAGCCTCACCATATAAAAATGCCAAACCTGATTTAGTTACCTATTATGTGAAGATATAATAAATGTTGTTGTAAATTGCTAATTAATTTATGACCGGGCGACAAATTTTGCGAGAGTTGAAGAAAGTATATACATGTGTATACGAAAGTGAAACAAACGCTATCGACGACCCACGCTGTTACTGCCTCAATAGTGAATTCGAAAAAAAATCGAAACTGTTAATTTACAATTTCTTTTTTAAAAACTAGTGAAAGTAATTGAACTACATTTTGCGCTCCGTACAGATTTTTATTGAAAGTCGATTGACACAGTTTAACATTGTTTGATTTTGTCCTTTGCAAGAAAGGGATACTAATTACAGGCAATTTATCTGATAAATTAAGTTTGCGGTGTGTTTCCATGTTGTAATAAGCTAACCATGTTAATTAAATTGCGTTGTTTGTATTAGAGATATACGAGTAAAGGCGTTTACTTTCTAGCCGACCTTCACGTGCAGTAATATGTTTGAATGTAATTCAATTTTTATTGTTAATTATTGTTAATATTACCGTTTAGTCGGTAGCGGTATGTAGATAACTACTATGTATTTGCAATCCGAAAACGGCGGATATGTGCACTTTTTCCCCTCTTAGTTCTCCACATTTCTGTTTAATTAATCCATTTTGAAATAATTGCTACGTTACAAAACTTCTGAATACAAAAACTGTTCTTAAATTAACATTACATTCTCATAATTGCTGGAGGAAGTCATTACACAAGCAATTTAGTTACGAATCTAAATAATGCCGAATTAAATTTACAATCCGACGACCTAAAGACATTTTATTTGGTCGTTTTTGTCTTTGAAAGTGGAACGCGCACCGCATCCGCAAAGTTAATTACGTTTTTATGGCTTTTTTTAACGTCTGTCAAGTGCAAGTGCTCATATGAAAGTCGGCATGTCGAATCTTCGATCTGCAGCTCGAATATCGTCACGAAATTTTGGACAGAATGAGATGAAGTCATGGAGAAAGCAATCCTTTCTTGTCAATGTCATTTGATCATTTTTGTAATAATATCAGGTTCCGGCGGTCATCCGAGAATTTTACTTTTACGTTTGGGAATTACCGGATTCTTTTGGAACTTTTACGGAACTGTTGACTAACTGGAAGATAATCATATCGGAATTGAAGTTGTGCAACGACAGCTTCCAATTATGCTGTACCAGTTTTAAACTTTTGCCTTTGGTAGGTATAATTACGTGTTACATGAACACGAATCGTGACTTAGTATCGGAAATGACCATAGACACATTAGTAAAGTGCATCTTTTAATTAGCAGCAAAACTGTAGACTGCTTTTGAAAGGGGAATAGGTCAATTATGTAACGTGTTTGACTAGATCGTTTGATGCAGGAAGGATGCAATTTGCAGTTTTCTACCGGCAATCTCGAGCGAATATGACAGGAACATCTTCAATTGTTCCAATGAATATTTAAAACACTATCGGTCATTGCTCGAAATGACTCGTAATTACTTTAGCAAGTATTAATTGCGAAAATATTTGCTTTGATATGTAGATTGGGAATATGACCAGACTAGACTAGATTTGCTTTTACAGCGATATCAAAAGATTGTAGAATGGCCGCATTTACCTCGTTAGTTTGCCCTCCTTTTGGAAGCAGTTTTTAAAATCCTCTTCTCGGTTTAGTCTTTACTCTTTAGTAGATGGATTTCCGCCAGTATAAGCACCGACAAAATGTTTTTTTGGCTATTAGGCTGAAGTTCTTTTAGTGTTTTTTGTACTTTGCGAGGAATTATCCTTTAGTTTTAAGTTTCCAATTAAAATCTGCCTCCATTTAATTTTGAGGGGTACGGGGTCTAAAATATGGCTGTCAGACATGGTAAATTGAATAGGTATTATAGCATATTTTTAATAGCAAATATGGAAACGTAAAGCCAGATTGTTTCCAATAATAACTTTAGGACCCTTTTTATTTTTAATTTAAGAAACAATTAACTTTAAAAATCAATTTTCAAATATGTCACTTTCAAACCAGACGCGTTTGAAACAATTTATTGTAGGCACATCCCTAGGCCCTCCTGTCACCCATTTGAGGTACACATTTTTTGCCCTATGCTTCTACATGGAGGTAAGGATGTGATTTAAAGAACTATATTTACGGGTTGTTGGCATTTGTGGGAAAAATTGAGCACTCGGTGTTATCAGAATTTGAGTATACCAACTATTAGTCTTTAATTCCGATTTTTCGTTATAACTTGAAAACTGTTACAGATAATTTAATGAAACTACTGAAAATAATAAGGCACATTCCAATAATTCGAAATCATACCATATATTTTAATTTTCCTCAATTGTGCAGGGTACAGGGTGTTGCAAATGTCGATCGAGAGTCTAATAATCAATTCGTGGAAAATAATGACCATGTAATTTAATATCTCAAAATTAATCGTTCTAGAAAACAAAATTAGGAAAAATACAAGATATTATTTATTTATTTAATTACGTGCGTTATTTATTTACATTTAATTAACAATAAATTTGTAACAATCTTAAAATGAATTGATTAATACCAGTTAAAATATTATTTATCACTCGCATATCAAAAATGATTTTGTTAAAATATCTTCTTTTTTACCTGGCAAGTCTTGGGTGGTTTTACGAATTAATTTCTTATTGAAAAATAGTGATATTTACATTTTTGAAACTAAAAAAAATGCTCTATCAAATAACACAAAAAATAAAAATGACTTATATAAGAAACAACAAAGTTGATGATGGTTAAAACTATAATAATACCCTGACTTTTTCCACAAGTAGTGACATATTTCAGAAATATACAGGGTGGCACAACGAAAACGAAACAGACTTAATAACTCGTAGGGAAATAGTTTTTTGGAAAGAGCTCGAGTTTGGTTGGAAGGGGGACATCTTTTACTCAAAAATTCCTCATCCCTCTAAGCAGCCCTTCAATAATTTTGAATTTAACGTTGGGTTGAGCTCTCTTATGGTTTAGTTTTCAAATTTGAGCGAATACTTTGAAGGATACAGGGTATGAATGAGTAATTCAAATAAATATTCAATACTTGTATGTGATAAGAAGTATTAGCTATACGACACAATCCTGGTCATATACCTTGAGAAATCAACATAACAAAATAAAGAGTTTTTAAGGTTGTAGATTTGTATAGAGATGAGAAAATTTGGAGAAATTAGAGTCAATTTTGGAGAATGAAAAATTCAGACGAAACAGGATGAAAATTTGAAAATGATTATGATATTTTACTTCGTACAACAATTAGGGAAATCTGTCAATGCAAGACATATTTAAAGACGTGCAGGAAATTTTAGCGGATTATAAGAAGCTTTTGAAGAAATCAGTGAAAATTTTGAGAAAATAGTAAGGTATTCTGAGAAAACGTGGAGAAATTTAGGAAAACGGCCAAAGTCAGTGTTTAAAGAAGTGTGTAGAAATTAGGAACATTTCCGGATATGTGCCAGAAAAACCGAAGTTTGCATAGATACAAAAAATTAAGTAGATACAAAAAATAAGAAACATATTCTCATTGCCACTTTTTGAGCACTGCAAAACACAAGATATTTTCAATACAATGTTTTGTTTCTGAGAATTCTTCATCAAATTTATGTTTTTATATGGCCCGTGAAAAAGTACATACTAAATTGAGTAGTATTTATTACGAATACAATGATGTACGGGACAAACAAACAAAAGTTGGTCCCCATGTTGGTATCAACAGGATGGTGTACCCGCTCATAATCGTGTGACATACCTATAAGGTAAATTTTTTGGGAAAACCGAAAATCTAGCGGAAAATTGTCCGATAGCACGATACGGGTGTTGTGCGCTAGTGGACCATCCTATAGAGACCAACAGTTTTCAACTTTTGGTTTTTTCTGTACCGTATATCGTTGTATTGGTAATAACAACTGCTACTCAATACAGTATGTACTTTTTTTTGGGCCATATAAAAAAATAACCTTGATGAAACGAAACGTTGTATTGGACGTTGTATAAAAATCTCTCAACTGAGTCTTGTAGAGCTCAAAAAGTAGCAATGAGAAAGTGATTTTTAAATTTTTTTTATCTGTTCCAATAACACCAGAAAAAAAATAAAAACCAAATCGGCACTTTCCGAATCTTCGGAAATACTCGGTTTGTTTCCCCAATTATTAATTATCTGTATGCTATAACGATGCGGGTACGAAATTTACCATA